ATGCTCAATGACTGCTGAAATATGCTCAATGACTGCTGAAATATGCTGAATGACTGCTGAAATATGCTGAGTGATTGCTGAAAACTGCTGAGTAACAGCTGAAATCTTCTGAGTAACTGCTGAAAGGCTGCTGAAATCTGCTGAGTGACTGCTGAAATCTGCTGAGTAACTGCTGAAAGGCTGCTGAAATGTGCTGAATAACTGCTGAAATCTGCTGAGTGACTGCTGAATGACTGTTGAAATATGTTGAGTGACTGTTGAAATCTGCTGAGTTACTGCTGAATGACTGCTGAAATATGCTGAATGACTGCTGAAATCTACTGAGTGATTGCTGAAAACTGCTGAAATCTTCTGAGTAATTGCTGAAAGACTGCTGAATTCTGCTGAAATCTGCTGAGTAACTTCTGAAATCTTCTGAGTAACTGCTGAGTGACTGCTGAATGACTGTTGAAATCTGTTGTGACTGCTGAAATCTGCTGACTGACTGTTTACATTTGCTGACAGTTGAAAACTGCTGAGTCAATGTTGAAATCTGCTGACTGACTATTTGTTTAAATCTGCTGACTGACTGTTTAAATATGCTGAGTCATTGTTAAAAATCTGCTGAGTGACTGCTGAAATCTGTAAATGTTTTAGCTCGTTCGAGCTGCAGGTATCTCACCTGTCTCTCCGTTTGTCCTCCAGATCACCAGTAAGAGTAAGGAGTCCATCTGGGAGCTGATCAAGTCCCTGCTGGACGCCTGGTCTGGATGGGTGGTGATGCTGCTCATCGGCCTCCTCTCTGGTCAGTCTCACCCAGAACCAGAACATTGAGGGTGTAGACGGAAGGTTTCCTTCCAACATTTCAGATCATGTCAGCCTGCAGAGTTGGTTCTCCATGTTTCTGTCAGGGTTTTCCTGCTCGGTAACAGAAAAGCATGACCTTTGACCTCACCTGAGGGTTTGTCAGAGGAGCAGCGCGTTCTTCTTGGCATAAAAGAGACGCACTCAGGTCTCACCAGAATAACAGAAGCTGTAGAAGTGGTCTCAGATGGACCGACCCGGGTTGTCCTGCTCTCCTCAGGTACTCTGGCCGGAGTGATTGACTTGGCGGTGGACTGGATGACGGACCTGAAAGAAGGCGTGTGCCTGTCGGCCTTCTGGTACAGCCACGAGCAGTGCTGCTGGACGTCCAACGAGACGACGTTTGACGACCGGGACAAGTGTCCTCAGTGGCAGAAATGGGCGGAGCTGATGACGGGCCACACGGAGGTGAGGATCGGAGATGAGTTCCTCGTGAACTTTACGGAGTTTTCAGCACTTTTAACGTGGTTCTGGTTTCAGGGGGCCGGCGTGTACTTGTTGAACTACTTCCTGTACGTCCTGTGGGCTCTGCTGTTCTCCTTCCTGGCCGTGTCTCTGGTGCGAGTGTTCGCTCCGTACGCCTGCGGGTCGGGAATCCCAGAGGTACCGGACCGCCGGAGCTGATGCTCAAACTGCTCAGAGGAAGATGTCGCAGGCTAAATGAGAAAATACGTACTGGTGTTGGACCGAGACGTCTACCATCGGCTGGTTTTGTTTTTTAACAAATATATTTTTCTCAGTTGGACTCCGGTGTCATTTTAAGACCAACCAGGACATAAATAACTTCCACTGTAACCAGATTTAATGAACCCACAGAGTTTTACTCACAGATCAGCCGTGGAATTTAATCACATCTGTGTTTTAGGTTCGCCCTTCAGCTCTTAGACTGACTGACAAACAAACCTCTGTGCTGCTTTTATCTAAATATCTGTTTTCCATGAAATGCTCTTCGTTTAGATCAGAGGTTCTGCTGACGAGGCTCGATTCATCCTCTTTGGACCTTTTTTTTAAATCTGTAAGGTCGCAACGTTAGGTTAGGTTTCCTAACTGTAACGACAACTAGAGAAATTTCATTTCCTGTGAAAAAGTAATGATTATTGCTGAATAACTTGCTGAAAAACAGCTGAAATTAGCTAAAAACTTGCTGAAATGTATCTGAAATAGAAGAGCAAGCACAATAAAGCAGAGAGAATACATATTTGCTGAATTAGGTTTAAATAAGCAGAAATTAGCCACAAAAAAAAAAAAGAAAAAGAAATTGGCTAAAAAAGCTGAAATTAGCAAAGAAATAACTGAAAATTAGCTGAAAGGCAGAAAGAAGCTTAAACAACCAGAAGAAAGTAAAAGGAGCTGAAATGAGCTGGAAAAAAATGTGGAATTAGCTGAAAAATCGAAATTTAACACAAAACAGCTAAAGAGTAGCTGAAATGGCAAAAAAAAAAAAAAGGCTGAAATTAGCAGAAATAATTTAATTAGGCTGAAAGTCGCAGAAATGAAAACCTGAAATTATCTGAAAACAGCTGAAATTAACTAAAAATGCTTTAAAAAAAAGTATCCGAAAATGTAGAACAAGCTTCATTTAGCAGAATAAAGCAGAAATAACACATTTGTTGAAAGAAGCAGAAATCAGCACAAAAAAGTGAAAATTATCGTAAAAAGCTGAAATGAGCAAAAATAATAATAGAAAAAATGGCTGAAAAGTAGCTGCAAAAGCAGAAAGAAGCTTAAATTACCAGAAGTACAGTAAGTGACGAGAGCACATTTTTGCTGAATTAAAAAAAAGAGAAATGATTGCAAAAAATGTGGATTTAGCTGAAAAAGCTAAAATTAATATAAAAACTGCTAAATAGTAGCTGAAATTGTAGAAAAAGCTGAAACGTGCATAAATAATCTGAAAGGAACATCATGAGCTGAAATTAGCAGAAATAATTTAATTAGGCTGAAAGTAGCAGATTAACACAAAAAACTTGAATTTATCTGAAAACAGCTGAAATTAGCTAAAAGTGTTAAAAAGTAGCTGAAAATGTAGAACAAGCTTAAATTAGCAGAAGAAAGCAGGAAGAAAATGAGCACAAAAAGTGAAAATTATCTGAAAAACGCTGAAATTAGCAACAAAAAAAAAACAGCTGACAAGTAGCTAACAAAGCAGAAAGAAGCTTAAACTACCAGAAGGAAATGGGAGAGAGCACCTTTTTGCTGAATTAAATAAAGGAAGTTTTTAAATTGTTGTAAAACTAGAATTAATTGGAAAAGCTAAAATTAGCATAACAACTGCTAAATAGAAGATGAAAAAGCTGAAACTTTCTTAAATAAACTGAAAGGAGCATAACAAGCTGAAATTAGCTGAAAGAAGTTAGATGAAGCACAAAAATCTTCTAGTTAGCAGCGAGAATCTAAAAGGAGCATAAAACAGCTGAAAGTAGCTGAAAAAAAGGTTAAAATTTTCACAAGGAAGCTGAAAGAAGCTGAAGCAGAACAAACTGAAAGGAGCAGTAAAAGGTTGTAAACAGATTTGAAGGATGAAAAATGAAATCAATTCATTTTCTTTGAGAACAAAAAATGTCAGAAAAGGCTAAATATTTCAAAAAGCTAAAGTTGCACCAATACCAAAAGTCACAGCAGGATTGTCCTGAAAGAGCTGAACGTTTTATGATTTGTTGAAATAGCACAAAAATTGTGGAAGGAGAAAAATGACCCGAGTGTAAGTGTTTGTGGCGACACCTTCTGGTTCTTTCCTCTCTGGATCAAAACACCTAAAGACACGAATGAGTGTCAATCATCTGTAGTTGGTTTGATGAAGGCTGAAGGAAAAATCCTGGTGCATCTGAGCTTTAAAACCCTGAGAACGTCTGAGAAGTCCTGGATGTCTGATGTAAAATGTGGAAAAGAACTGCTACTTTAGCTTGAAGTTCTCGGACGTAAACTTTGCCGTCATCCTGCGCAGATCAAGACGATCCTCAGCGGCTTCATCATCCGGGGCTACCTGGGGAAATGGACCCTTCTGATAAAGACCGTCACGCTGGTTCTGGCCGTGTCGTCGGGCCTGAGTCTGGGGAAGGAGGGTCCTCTGGTCCACGTGGCCTGTTGCTGTGGGAACCTCTTCTGCAGCCTCTTCTCCAAGTACAGCAAGAACGAGGGGAAGCGGCGGGAGGTGCGGTGCAGCTAACGGTTCCTCGTTACCCGGTTCTGTAGATAAACGGTAACGTCTGTGTTCCTCCTGCAGGTACTGTCGGCGGCGGCGGCAGCTGGCGTCTCCGTGGCGTTCGGAGCACCCATTGGAGGAGTTCTGTTCAGCTTGGAAGAGGTCGGTGTTAGTCCGCCTGAAGTTTCTCCTCAGGGATCAGAACCCTGAGAACTCTGGTGTTCCTCCTGCAGGTCAGTTATTACTTCCCTCTGAAGACTCTGTGGCGGTCCTTCTTCGCCGCGTTGGTCGCCGCCTTCACGCTGCGTTCCATCAACCCGTTCGGAAACAGCCGCTTGGTTCTGTTCTACGTGGAGTACCACACTCCCTGGTACATGGCCGAGCTGGTCCCATTCATCCTGTTGGGAGTGTTCGGCGGACTCTGGGGGACCCTGTTCATACGGGCGAACATCGCCTGGTGCCGGCGGAGGAAGACCACCCAGCTGGGGAAGTACCCAGTTCTGGAGGTCATTGTGGTGACGGGGATCACCGCAGTCCTGGCCTTCCCCAACCCATACACCCGGCGCAGCACCAGCGAGCTCATCTCCGAGCTCTTCAACGACTGCGGCGCCCTGGAGTCCTCGCAGCTCTGCGACTACGTCAACAACCCCAACATGAGCCGGCCCGTGGACGACATCCCCGACCGCCCGGCCGGACCCGGGGTCTACAGCGCCATGTGGCAGCTCGCACTCGCCCTCATCTTCAAGATCGTCATCACCATCTTCACCTTCGGCATGAAGGTCCGAAGTTTCCTCCCGCGTAACGTTTCGACCCAAACGAATAAACATTTTTTTGACAACGGCTCTGTTTCGTTTCAGATCCCCTCAGGTCTGTTCATCCCCAGCATGGCGGTGGGCGCCATCGCCGGCCGGATCGTCGGTATTGCCGTGGAGCAGATGGCGTATCACCACCACGACTGGATCATTTTTAAGAACTGGTGCCGACCTGGTGCGGACTGCGTCACACCGGGGCTCTACGCCATGGTGGGGGCTGCCGCCTGTCTGGGTGAGCGAACGGACCGAAGAGTTTAAAAAACATGGAAAGTTCTACTTCCTGTTGGGTTCTCTCGCAGATTAAAGCTTCTCGCTGCAAAGTGAAGACCACGGCTGGTCTTCGATGGATTCAGCCATGTGCTCTGTCCCCCGTCGCCGATTGAAAATGCGGAATTGGAAATACCCTCCGTCCGCCCATCCATGAATGTTATGAGCGCGATATCTAGAAAAGTAAATGAGGTACCCACTTCCATTTTGGTGTGTGGCTGCATCAAGACATATTAATGGTTCCTTTCGAAAATTGGGATTCCAGGTTCAAATCCAAGATGGCTGCCACCACATATATGTAAACCTTGTGAGCTGGATGACTTGAAAAATAATCAACAGACCAACATCCTTGTTGGTGTGTGGCTGCATCTATACTTATGAAAGGTTCCTTTCAAAAAATGGGGTTGTCACTTCAAAATCCAAGATGGCTGCCACCATATACATTTTATATATATATATATATATATATATATATACATAAACGTTCATACATATAAACCAGCCACACCAATCATTTGAGAAAACTAAGGGTTCTAGTTTTTATATTGCTTTAAAGTATAGTTTCCTCAAATGATTGGGGTGGCCGAGGATTATGCCATAGTATCTGAGGCCACCGTTGGCCACCCCCTGGCTCTGCCTGTGGGTGGATAAAATTGTTCCCTCTGCTCGCCAGGATCTGTTACTCTGTGCTGCCTCGGACTAGATTAAAATAATCCCCACCTCTTTTCTTCCAAAGTGTAACTCCTGCCCCCCTTGAATATCTCGCACCAAAAACATTTAGGTTTACTTGTTTAATTCCAGTCTAGAAAAAACGCTCGTCTCAAAAACATTCACTCTTCAAATCCTTCAGCGACGGGGGACGTCGGCTTGTTTACACTGAGTGCAGACCTGTATTTTAGAGTTTTATATCGTTTGGCTTAGTTCAGGAAAACCTTCTTGTTTTAGAGTTTCTCATGAGTTCTGTTAACACGGCTGATGTTGGCGTCTTTTCAGGGGGCGTGACCCGCATGACGGTCTCCCTTGTGGTCATTATGTTTGAGCTCACTGGCGGGTTGGAGTACATCGTTCCCCTCATGGCTGCCGCCGTCACCAGTAAGTGGGTGGCGGACGCCTTCGGGAAGGAGGGCATCTACGAGTCGCACATCCAGCTGAACGGGTACCCGTACCTGGACGTCCGTGACGAGTTCACCCACCGCACTCTGGCCACAGACGTGATGAGACCGCGCCGGAACGACCCTCCTTTGGCCGTCCTCACGCAGGACGGCACCACGGTGGAGGACGTGGAGACGCTCATCAAAGATACCGACTATAACGGTTTCCCGGTGGTCGTGTCGCGGGAGTCAGAGCGGCTGATTGGCTTCGTTCAGCGCCGCGAGCTCACCCTCGCCATCAGTAAGACCGTTAACACCCAAGTCTGTCCGCCAGGTTTTGATGTGATGTCACAGACTCCGCCTCCTTCCTGTCTGTCCACAGAAAACGCTCGTCAGAAGCAGGACGATGTGGTGAGCAGTTCCGTGGTCTACTTCACAGAGGACGCTCCGCAGCTGCCTGCCAGCAACCCCCAGCCCCTGAAGCTGCGCCGCATCCTGAACCTGAGCCCCTTCACCGTCACAGACCACACCCCCATGGAGACGGTAGTGGACATCTTCCGCAAACTGGGCCTCCGTCAGTGCCTGGTCACGAGGAGCGGGTCAGGGAGACACTTTCTTTTACTTTTCTCACAATTAACCGTCTGTAATGACTTAGCCAGTTTATATAATGTGGCCAGCAGGGGGCAGTGTGAGATAAATAAAGTGGGGTAGTGGTTACAAAGCCCATGTTTTTACAGGTACACAAACGCATCATAGCTAAGCAGGTGTCCAAAATCCTCAATGGTTCCCAACACACGTCCTTGAGGAACACCAGCCTGCATGTTTTGTTTTCTTGCACCAGCACACCTGATTCAGTGAATTAATTACTTCCTCGTGTTCTGCAGAAGCCTGTCAAACACCCATTCATTTAAATCAGATGTGTCAAAGCAGGGACACCGCTAAAACATGCAGGATGGTGTTCCTCAAGGATCACGGTTGGGAACCATTGTGCTTGATGTGCCTCAGTGCTTTGTAAATAAAATAAAATAATAAACTTCAAGTAAAGTTTAAAATAAGAACATATAGACTTTTTTCAAGATTAGATTTGATCCCTTGGGAAGATTCCTTCAGGGAGATTAAAATTCCAGCAGCATCGACGTTTATTGAAGAAAAATGTTGGACTAATTTGCAGGAGATGTAAGAAATTGAAATAATAAAAGGAAATTAAAGTCTAGGTGAAACGGCGCTACCTGTTGTCAATTATTACACTTTCACTACAATTTTAATCACAACTGTTAACTAAATTATAATCAAAAGCTCTAAATTGATTACAAATATGTTGTTTTATTATTTAATTGTTTGTGCGGCTGAAAGTGCAACTAGAGAAATTTCACTTCTGCGAAAATCCAGTGTGAATGTTTATTGCAGAAGAACTTCCTGAAAAATAGCTGAAAGTAGCTAAAAAAATGCTGAAATGTAGCTGAAAGGGAAGAACAAGCCTAAATTAGCATAAGAAAGCAGAAAAACACATATTTGCTGAATTAAGTTTAAATAAGCAGAAATGAGCACAAAAATTTGGACGAGACCTAAAAAAAATTTTTTTAAGCTGAAAATTAAAAAAATAGCTGAAAAAGCAAAAAGAAGCTTAAACTACCAGAAGGAAGCTAAAAGAACTGGAATGAGCTGAAAAAATATGGATATAGCTGAAAAAGCTAAAATTAGCATCAAAACAGCTAAATAGTAGCTGAAAGAGCAGAAAAAGCTGAAACTGGCAGAAAAAAGGGTGAAAGGAGCATAACAAGCTGAAATTAGCATAAGTATGTTAATTAGGCTGAAAGTAGCAGAAATTAACATGAAAAACTTGAATTTATCTGAAAACAACTGAAATTAGCTCAAAAATGTAGCTGAACAGATAGAACAAGCTTAAATTAGCAGAAGGAAGCCGAAAGAACACGTTTGCCCAGTTCGACTGAAAGAAGCAGAAATGAACACAAAAAAGTAGAAATTACCTGAAAATAGCTGAAATTAGCAAAACAAAACAAAGAACAGCTGAAAATTAGCCACAAAACCATAAAGTAGCTAAAATTACAAGAAGGAAGTGGAGAGAACACACTTGTTGAATTACCGTATTTTTTGGCCTATAAGGCGCACCAGATTTTAAATGTGCCTTATAGTCTGAAAAATATGGTAGGCTGAAAAAAGTTGAAATGATTCAAAAAAAAAAAAGAAGTGAAATTATCTGCAAAAGCTAAAATTGGCATAAATACAGCTAAATATAAGCTGAAATAGCAGAAAAAGCTGGAACTTGAAGAAATAGTCTGAAATTAGCAGAAAAAAATTAGAAGCACAAAAATGTTCTAGTAAACCGAAAGAATGTGAAATGAGCACAAAACAGCTAAAAAAATAGCTGAAGTAGCTGAAAAACGTTTACATTTGTAGAAGGAAGCTGAACCAGAACAAAATGTGAAAGGAGCAGTAAAAGGTTGTAAACAGATCTGAAGATTTTGAAGGATGTAAAATGAGTTCAATTCATTTTCTATGAGAACAAAAAATGGCAGAAAAAGCTAAATATTAAAAAAAGCTGAAGTTGCACCAATACCAAAAGTCCTAGCACCCTTCCCCTGAACGAGCTGAACGTTTTGATTTATTTTTTGTTGAAATAGAACAAAAACTGTGGAAAGAGAAAGTTGACGAACAACGTACCGAATAGTTTAAGAAGTCGGAATAATATTAAATATAAACGGAAAAACAATAGTGTGAATGCTTAATAAGCGTTCACACTATTGTGATCAAAGGCTCGAAATTGATGTTACTTAATTTTTTTAAATTGTAATTAAATGGAATAATTGTTTCGACTGTTTAGGCGCCTGCTGGGCATCATCACGAAGAAGGACGTCCTGCGACACATGGCCCAGATGATGAACCAGGATCCAGAGTCCATCATGTTTAACTGACTTCGCACCGACGGCTGTAAATACACCTGCTTCTTTAGCCCCGCCCACCCCATCACTGACACCGACCTCGTGCATCGAGCATCTCGTTTATTTATTGCAGCTCGTTTTCGATTGAACAAAGGAAAGACTTAACGATGACGGAAAGGTCAAAGCTCCTGAACAAACTTGAAGGTCTGTAACAAACTAATTTTTATTTTTTCGTGTTTCTCACCGTTTTGTTGAATTAAAGCTGCTTCCAGGTCTTTTGGTCTGTTTATCAAACACGTAACTTTATAAAATAAAAAATAAAAACCTGTGAAATGTTACATTTTAGTGGAAAGACTGGAGAATCACTGGAAGTTAAAAAACAGGGACCAGTTTCACCGGAGATGAAGCGTTGTTAAATTGTTTAAATGAAAAATGGACTTCAAGTAGTATTTTTTTGTGTGTATTATGGTGGCCCTAAGGTGTAAATGAACAATATTTGAAAAAACGGAATTACATTTGAAAAAACAGAATTACATTGAGCCAAAGCGGAAGTGGCCAAAGCGGAAGTGGCCAAAGCGGAAGTGGCCAAAGCGGAAGTGGCCGAAATTGCATTAGAAAAAACATAATTACATTTGAAAAAACGGAATCGCATTTGAAAAAATCGGAATTACATTACACCAAACAGGAAGTTTTTTTTTTTTTTTTGCTTTATTAACAGCATAAAACCAAACAACAGAACAATATACAGTACACACACCACAGAGATACAGTTAGCAGGCTATCCTTTGAACTATATCTCCGTTGTGTGTGTACTGTATATTGTTCGGTTTTATGCTGTTAATAAAGTAAAAAAATAAAAACTTCCTGTTTGGCTTAATGTAATTCCGTTTTTTCTAATGTAATTCCAGCCACTTCCACTTTGGCCACTTCCGCTTTGGCTCAATGTAATTCTGTATTTTCAAACGTAGTTCTGTTTTTTCAAATGTTGTTCATTGACACCTTAGGGCCACCGTAGTTTCTAGTTGTTTTGATGTTTTTTTTATGCTGCTGCCATTTTCACACGAGTGCTGCCAAGTGTTTTATTCATTTTAAAGTATAAACTAAAACTGGAACGTTTTTATTTCTGCGTCAAAGGAAGCTGCACGTTTGTTTGTTTTCAGCTGATTTAAACGCTATTAAAATGTGAATTCGGGCGCGAAATGGTTCTTGAACGCATCATTCAGCTCCTCGCTGTGACACTAAAACGGTTCAAAGTGTTTTCCTGTTAAACGATCAAAGCATCAGTGTTTGTGGCGTCTCTGAAACTCCACTTGTTTTTAAAGGTCGTCTGTAAAAAAATTATTTATTGTGATTTTTTAACATTTATTTTAGTCAGAAGTGATCCTGTTGTTGAGGTCCGTTTGTTTCAGATTGTTGCTGAGAAAGAATTCACTCACATGCACTTTTTGTTTCTGGTTTGTAAAAATGGGGAAAATAAACTTTAAAACTCATTTAAGGTTTTGTTTTTTGTTTTTGTTTTTTTTTTGCTTATTGAATTTACTCAAAGTGACCTTTTCAAATGTTTTATTTTTCATTTTTGTCTTGTAGAACCAGTGTGACGATCAAATGTCCTACATTTTTCAGGTCAATGAATGCATCATAGTTGCATACTTCAAATCCCCCCCCAAGATTAATAAATCATCTATTCATTGATCCATCATCCATCCACAGAGTGATAAAGATTAATAATTAAGTTTTTTAAAAGTAGCTTTTAAATTGTCCGTCTGTTCTTCTATCCATCCATCCAACCAACCATCCATCCATCCAACCAACCATCTATCCTTCCATCCACAAAGTGATAGTTTCATAAATATAAGCTTTTAAAAGTAGCTTTTAAATCATCTTTCCATCCATCCATCCATCCACCAATCATCCACCATCCATCCAACCAACCATCCATCCATCCAACCAACCAACCATCTATCCATCCATCCACAAAGTGATAAAGATTAAGTGTTTTAAAAATAGCTTTTAAAATTGTCTGTCCGTTCATCCATCCAACCAACATCCATCCTTTTTTCCATCCATCCATCCATCCATCCATCCACAGTGATAAAGTTTAATAATTATAAGCTTTTAAAAATAGCTTTTAAATCTTCTGTCCGGTCATCCAACCAACCAACCATCCATCCATCCATTCATCCATCTATCCATCCACAAAGTGATAAAGATTGATCATTGTTTTTTAAAAAGTAGCTTTTAAATCATCCATCCATCCATCCAACCATCCATTCATCCATCCATCCATCTATCCACAAAGTGGTCCTCCCCAGAAAATTTTGAATAAAGTAGATGCCATTTTCTGCATTCTGGTGTATTTTAATGGGTTGTTAAAGGGGTTTAACAGGTTTTTACAAGTTGTCTACATTTGCCTACATTTGTAAACACTGCTTCTGTCAAGCATCCTACACCCCCCCACCCCCAGTGGTTCCGAGCCAGCTCTGCTCTGCAGAATTCACTGTCCGACTCCACATGTGAAACCTCCAGGCACCTCCTCCGTCTGGTCATGGTGGCTGCCTGTGGGCTCCTGCCTGCGTACGACTGCCTGGTTAGCTCATCACTCACTCTTATCACTCTTAGGGGCGGAGGTTTTTTAAGGGGCAGCTCTTATGTGATTGTAAGAAGCTCGTAAGTAACTGTTGTGTTTAAAATGAGTGTTTATGTTTTTTTCTGAATTAGGCTGAAAAAAGTTTAAATGAGTGCAAAAAATGTGGAATCAGCTGAAAAGGCTAAAATTAGCATAAAAACAGCTAAAGCTGAAATATCAAAAAAGCTGAAACGCATAAATAAGCTGAAATGAGCAAAACTGAAATTAGCAGAAGCACAAAAATGTTGTAGTTAGCAGAAATAATCTGAAATGAGCACCAAACAGCTAAAAAAAACAAAACAAAAAAAAAAAACAGCTGAAAGTAGCTGAAAAACAATTTAAATTTGCAGCAGGAAGCTGAAAGAAGTTGAACCAGAACAAAAAAAAGAAAGGAGCAGTAGAAGGTTGTAAACGGATCTAAAGGTTTGAAGGATGTAAAATGAACTCAATTCATTTTCTATGAGGAAAAAAGTGTTAGAAAAGGCTAAATATTTCAAAAAGTTAAAGTTGCACCATCCTAGCACCGTTCTCCTGAACGTTTTGATTAATGATTTGTTGCAGTAGCACAAAAACTGTGGAACGAGAAAGATGCTGAAAAACATACGGAAGTAAACAGGACGACAATAGTGTGAATGCTTCATAAACAGTCACACAATAATGGCAGGACATTTTGCCTGTGTACTTTTTATGTAATTCAAAGCTAATGTTAATGTTAGATGTACACTCCTTCTGTCTTCTCAGACCCCCTATGACCCCCCTCGTGGCTCAGAATTGGCAAACGGGCCACCAGTTGATTTTTACTACATTAGCTTACTGGTCTATTTATTTTATGTGTTAAACACTTCGGTTTAAGCTCTGACTCATACGTTGCATTCTTAGTCGTATATTCTGGGTGTAATTCTTGTTTTTGGTATTTTTTTAAATCGGCCATGAATGTGTAGTTTAGCTGTGGGCTTCACAACAAAAAGTAAAAAGAAGGGGGACAAAAGAATTGTGTTCTTAAGGCCTGGTATCTTCTTTATTTAGTAATTCGTTCAAACCCAAATCCAGTTTAACTTCCTGTTTCCTTACCAAGTTTTCCACTTGGAGCTTAAAAGAGAGGTACGAGTTGACCAAGATACCCAAATATATGTAGGAATCGACAATTGGAGCACCATTCGAGGATAAAATCGAAGGAAGAACCGCTGGGACTGACTCCTGTTTGAAAACGGCATCCCTTTGGTTATGTCTGCGTTTAGGACAAGTTTGAGAAGGAACAAATCTGACTGGATGAAGTCAAAAGCGGATTGCAAAAGCTGGAAAACTATCAACTGTTTTAGCTCGACAATAAACAACGGTGTCATCAGCATAGAAATGTATGGATATAAGAATATAGGTAATACCTTTATTCATTTATTCACCCTTTATTTATACAGGTGAATCCCATTGAGCCTCATTTACAAGAGAGACCTGATTCTAACGAAGAGTGATGACAACAGTGGGCAACAAAGACAGTAACAGACAATCATAAAGGATGCGTACGAAATGAGATTTATTTTAATTTTTTTAACAAGTGAAAATACACTGCCTGGTTAAAAAAAAAGTCTCCACCTGGTTCCACCTGGATTTAACTAAGCAAATAGGTACGAGCCTCCTATTAGATAATTACTGAATGGGTGATTATCTTTCAGCTGGCAACAAGTTATTTAACCCCAACTGGTGCAATGAGTTGCTTCTCATTTCTTAAACAACCACGTCAAAAGACACATCGCGTGGTCGTGGAAAAGATGTCAGTCTGTTTGAGAAGGGTCAAATCATTGGCATCAAGCAGAGAAAACATCTAAGGAGATTCAAGAAACTACTAAAACTGGGTTAAGAACTGTCCAACGCATTATTAAAAACTGGAAGGATAGTGGGGACCCATCGTCTTCAAGGAAGAAATGTGTCCGGAAAAAAATCCTGGATGATCGTGATCGGCGATCACTTAAACGTTTGGTGAAATCAAATGGAAGAAAAACAACAGTAGCACTCAGAGTTATGTTTAATAGTGAAAGTAAGAGCATTTCCAAACGCACAATGTGAAGGGAACTCAAGGGATTGGGACTGAACAGCTGTGTAGCCTTAAGAATCACTAATCAGGCTAACTGGAAAAAAAAAAAGTCTTAAATTTGTTATGGAGCATAAAGATTGGACTCTGGAGCAATGGAAGAAGGTCATGTGGTCTGATGAGTCCAGATTTACCCCGTTCCAGAGTGATGGGCGCATCAGTGTAAGAAGAGAGGCAGGTGAAGTGATGCCTAGTGCCTATGCAAAATCTTGGTGAAAAATTAATGCAACACTGGATGGAAATAGATCTTGCGACATAGCAGAAGCTTAATGAAACAATGCCACAGTGAATGCATGCCAATCAAAGCTGGCGGTCCTTTTTTTTGGTGGCAACATTTTTTTTTGGTCAGGCAGTGTAAAATGGTATAAAGAAAATGTAACAAAAAACAGCTATAACGTAGGGCAGTGTCCTAAGACTGAGCCTTGTGGTACACCATTGTTGACTGGAGGAAGTACCATTATGTTGAACACATTGCCTCCGGACCGGTCTGAGAGATAGTGAACCAGTGTGAGTATACAGGTAGTCTTGGCATAATAACGGTTTTAAAAAACGATTTGGTTTCTGTTTTTTTCCACGGTACCCACGGGCACGCTTTTTACTCCCCCTTACTTTAAAAAAAGCTGCTTCTCCCTTCCCCCCATTTGACTTGGAGCTCAGGAAAACTTTCACAGAATAACACCGGATATTAAATTTTATCATTTCAAAGTAAATGTCCAATGCCGAACGTACACGAAATTCTTGTTTGAATAAAGAATTAAAAACAACATAAACGATTTTATTTGCGCTTTAAAGTCATATTTCTGTTCAAATGGTTGATCCGAGTTAGAAAACTGCAATTTCAATGCCTCTCTTTAGCAACTAAATGTTTCGATCTTTTATTTTGAACGTAATAACCGGAAGTTCCGAGCTTTCTAGCCTTAACTTAAAGGCGGTCTCCTCCAGAGCAGCAGAGATTTAGGAATGTGGAACCCAGCGGCAACGTCACCCTCAAACCGCTCGGGGTGTCGTCGATGAAAAACTTTTTCTTGAAGGCGGTCATTCAACGATACAACTCCCACTGTAAGTTAAAAAAAAGAAATAAATCCTAATATTACTAGATAGTTTTTAGTGATGCTTAATTTAAAGTTTTCTGTAAAAAAAAAAAAAAAAAAACGTGCCTCCGAGTCCAACTGTCCGTTAGCTAGGCGACGTAAGTTGTAACAATTAGCTGTTGGCGCTGAAAAATGAAGCGTTTTGTATTTAGTCGTAGCCTCAAGTCGTATCTTGTGTGTTTAGGACAAGTTCCAGCGTGTCTCTTTATTGTTTAGGGAGAGAAGAAGATAAAACAAAAGCCTGCCCCGACGTGAAGTCATCGTTTCAGACGTGAGGCGGACGCGTTAGCTGCTGTTAGCGACGACGTTCTCCCCTCGCGCGCACACTCTCGAGTAAGTTCTTCTTCTTCGGTTTTAAAGCAGGCTCTGTGGGGACGTACATTTGGCTGATTGCCTGCTGTGTTTTGGTAACATTCCTCTCTCCAGGGACGCTGGTCTCTGTCTCCATGGTAACCGGCTGGACGCCCTGCCTGTCGCCGTGAAGCCGCTGGTGAGGGGGCGGAACCCGGCAGAGGATCGAAGGGGACTCGGTTCTTCTCGGGCACAGCCGGTGGAGGATGGTAAGCAGGGCTGCTTCACCTTCTTCGCTTGTGGCGGCGTGAACTGATCAACCTTTCCGTTTCAGCCGTTTCATGATGGAGTCTACTACCCCTACAGCAGCGACACCCAGGGGACCCACTCCTCAGCGGGGATCCCCTCCCTCCTGAACTCCCCGCTCAGCCAGCAATCCGCAGGCATGACTCCGTCCAGCGGCGCCTCCGCCTTCCTCCCCTTCAAATTCCGTCCCCGCCGGGGGAGCGTGGACTGGCGGCGCATCAACGCCGTGGACGTGGACCTGGTGGCGAGCCAGCTGGACGTGGACGCCCTGCAGGAGCACGTCGGCACGGTGGCCTTCTGCAGCCTGGACGGCGAGCGGTGCCAGCGGTGCCAGAGCCCCGTGGACCCGGCGCTGGTCAAGCTCCTGCAGCTGGCCCAGCTGACGGTGGAGTGGCTCCTGCACTGCCAGGAGTTCCTCAGCCTGAACCTGCGGGCGGCGGAGGAGCGGCTGGCGGCGGCCGGCAGGGAGCGGGAGCAGCTGCTGGCTCTGCACGGGAAGCAGGAGGAGAGGGTGAGGACGCTGACGGCCGAGCTGAAGCAACGCAAGAAGATGATCCGCACCCAGCAGTCCCTGCTCGCACCACGAATCATCAGCAGCCACAAGGTAAAACCACCTCCACCCCCCACCTCCATCACTGCTGATGAGATTTATTCACAGCTCCAGCCTGCGCCGATCATGTCTTTGTCTTAAATGCAGTTGTTTCCTCTAAAGCCCACTTAGCTGATGAGCACACCGCTGTCAGCCCTGAAGGGAAGGGTTTAAATAACAGATGGTGTCTGTCGTTTGAGAAAATCCACTTACACACTCACAAAAACACCGAGACAATAATCAGAGCGACGGTCCGACTCCCCCACCCCCTCCTGTGTGTGTGTGTTTTGTCAGAAGCACAGCTCGTACTCTGCTCTTTTGAAAAGCACCGATCTGAAACCTCGTGATCTGTCGGCGACCTGGCCCGGATGTCGTCAAGGCAACGGCTCTGGCGTTTCACAGTTGCTAGGTGTGAGGGCAGGAGCTCGGCTAACCGAGCCGGTTCAATAATTGATTGAGAGGCTGAATGACTTTAACGCTCCCCCTCGGTGTCACATGGCAGCGTTTGGTCCCGCGCGGAGCAACAGGATGTCGGCGGCATTTGGTGTCGTGCAGAACGGAGTCCCGGACGCTGCTGTGAATGCGGCGTGTGATGCGTTCGAGGCTGGTGTCGGCATCACTGCCTGCCTGGAGACTTGACGAAAAGAGGCCGTTTCTGCAGGCGGCGACGAGCTTGACACCGGGGGCTGCGGGCGTTGTTGCCAAGTAAACACTAAACACAAACAGAATTATCTCGACAAAACTGGGAGGACTTGACCGAGTTTAAATCAGCTCGTTCAAGTTTAGTCCACATAGACTGCACCAGGAAGAAGGTTGCTGGTTTAATTCTTGGCTTGGGCTTCATTGTAATCTCAAGGTTTCTTTATTGTCATTCACATGAGGTGGAAAGAAATTGTGTACACAGGGTCGCAGTTACATCCAACAAAAGTATAAATAGTGAAGAAAGACACAAGATCTTAGACAGGGCTATTCAACTGGCGGTGCGCGGGCCATTTCCAGCCCGTGGGTGACTTCCAGGGCCGGCCCAAGCCTCCATGGTGCCCTAAACAAAATTTGGTTTGGAGCTCTATTTCTGTTGATAATGTGGATTACTGCAATCAACAGTCAGACGATCAGATCACCCACCTAACATGAACTCATTGCAACTCTGACAGTCCTGTTTACGTTATAAACTATATGTTTATACTAAAAGTAACAAAAGAAAGGAAAAAACACCAGTATACAATGTATTTTACAGCAAAAGTGTCATCTTGTTTATTATCTTTGGTTCCAAAGAACTGCAACAGTAATGTTCAAAATAATTTGTAGTGCAAGATCAACAACAAACGGATAAAATAACTTGGATGCATGAATATAAATTAAATTGTGCAAAAACAGACAAAATAAAATAAAATACAGTATTTCCCCTAGTTAACTTGTCATGGCGGGGTGCTCATCTCATCCACGATTTTTATTGACTGGGGGGGGGACAGTTTTTGATTGGGGTGGGGGGTTCAGCATGAGGGAAGAGGCGCCTTTAGCTTTTTAGCTAGAGCGCTTGTATTGCGCATTGCTAGCTCAGCGTGGCATGTTTGAGTTGTGCGCTGTTTATACAGACGGTTTTTGAGTGTGTGGTGTTCAGCTTGAGAGACGAGGCAATGTGAGCGCTACCTTTAGCTTTTTAGCTAGAAAGCCTGTATTTCGCGCCGCTTGCTTAGTGCTATGTCGGTGCCAGGTGGGGGGGTGGCGCAAGTTTAGTTTGGTAGGCGGGGTGCTCGGTTCTGTTGACGAGGTGGGGCACCCCGCTTGTATAATGGTAGGAGAAACACTGCAGTTAAAATAAACTTAACATGCTCTGTTCAGCTAAATACACTACACAGTGTTGCTCGCTGCTTCGGCTGTGCTGAAAGTGAAAGTTAAGGTGAACGGCCACGACTTGAAAGTAGTTTGCATGCGCCCTCTGCTGGATATATCGTACATTTATGCCTTTTGCAAGTAAGGACACAGCTTGTCCCCGGTGTTTATATTGTCAAGTTATGGGACAATTATCATCGATACCAATATGTCCTTAAACACCCTTTATTCTCTAAATGTTCTGTGGTTGTGGCACAATAACGTCATCAGTGACATCACTGCGTCAAGTCACGTTTCCAATCATTTTCCATGAAAAATTTCCAATTTGGAATATTTCCAAACTTCCCTGAAGTTCCCTGAGTTTGGAAAGTGTCTGGAAATTTATTGCAAATATCTTGGAAATGCTACTTTAAGGCAGACGGTTTGAGGTCCGAAGTCGTGCTACAGAAAGGTTTTGCTCTCTTTGTAACTCTGGCTGTACAAAGTTACTCAACTGAAGTTGGACCTTGGGGGTTTAAATTAGCAAATGTCTCACCAATGACTAGGCCTGTCGCAATAAATCAATTAATCAATTAATCAATTAATCGCATGATGAATGAAAATTATCAACCTCATTTTCATTCATCGGCTTTATCGTTTCTTCGTGTTTCTCTCTTTCTACTGAAGACACGGCTCAACTCCGGTTATCTTCACTGACCCCTCACTTTCTCTTTTCCTCTTTAAAACCTGTTTTAATCGTCCAAAATTACATTTTTAGATTGTTAAAGCAGCTACGCTGAGAAGCTAAGCTACGAGCTAAGCTAACAGGCTGACCTCGGGAGGGAAAAAACTCTGTCTTGTCAAAGCTCCAAAACCATTTTTCTTAAAGAGACACGCTGCTCGCTCCCTCACTATCCATCCTTCGGTTTAACCAGTCTTACTGCCATCCGGTGGTCAAAAAAAAGTTACTACACTCAAAATTAACCAACATTTCTTCTTTAATTTGTCAAATTCCAAACAATATTATTGTTTATCGCGATAATTTCTGAGACAATTAATCGCCCGGCAAAATTTGTTATCGTGACAGGCCTACCGATGTCGTCTGTTTTGTTCTGTTAGTGTCTGCACTGTGACAAGTCCTTCCTGAACTCCTCCTTCCTCCAGAACCACATGCAGCGCCGACATCCTGATGAGCTTCAGATCCGTAAGTCCACCCAGGTCTGATCTGGAGGATGAAACGAGGCGAGCGTTTCACGCTTGGTTTTCTTGTCTCGTGCCCTTTCAGAGCTGCAGTCCGACGGCGAGAAGCAATCTCAGATCGAAAGCCTCAAACAGGAAATCAGCAGCCTGAAGGAGCAAATAGTTCAGCAGCAGCAGGCTTTGCAAACCAAAGTAGCCGAGGTAACGTCAGAAATCAGTGAGATTTATCTGTTGTTTCACAGATCTGACCGTGTGTGTGTGAATCCAGGAAAAGGAGCAGCAGAACATGCACAAGGAGCTTCTGCGAGACCTGGAGCGCTTCAAGGCGGAGGAGATGGCTCGCATGGACCGGAAGATTGAGGACAGCCGGGACGGGATCCGCCGGGAGATGGAGTTCCTGTACAACCGCAACATTCAGGCTCTGAGCGTACGACAAGGACGCCGCTCGTCTTCACGCCAACTCAAGACGAACGTCCTTTCATTGCACCCGTTTCCATCCGCAGGAAGTAAGTCAGACGCCCAAACAGGACAAACCCGTCGGCTCGGTGAGCCCGCAGCCGGAGAGAGACGTGGACGCGTACAAAGACGTGCAGCTCCAAGCTATCCAAAAGCTGGAACAGCAGATGAAGAAGCAGGTCGGAGAAGAGGGAAAGCTGCTGAAAACATTCAGGTCTTTTAAAGTGGGGTTCTGTGGAAACTTTTATGAACAGTCAACGTTTAACCTGTTGCAGATGCCTCTTTGAAGCTCATTTTTTCAAAATATGGATAATGAGCTAACGGCTAGTCCGAGCAGGGCAAAGATTAAATAAAGTGAGCTATGCCATCTTAAAAAGACTAAAGGAAGGCGATAATATTTTTGACAGTGTTTATTGTTAGCAAAATATTGCATGTATCATTATGACTTTTTTAAGATTGCAGTCGTTTCAAGTGAGCAGCACTTTGCTCTCACTTTGACTAGCCGTTAGCTCATCAGTCTAGTCAGATTTACACTCCGTCTCCGGACAGAGGTGGTTGAAACGCTATCTGCAACAGGTAAGACTATAAATGTTCATAACTGCTCCACATAACCCCACTTCAAAAGATTTGGAACTATCCCTTTAAGATGTTTTGTACAACACTAACGGCAAATCTTTTTTTTTTTTTTTTTAGGATAAAAAGTGGGAATCCAGACTGCAAGACATTAAAGATCAGCATGAGTCTGAAAAGAATCAGGTGGGTATCCTTGACCCCCCCCCCCCCCCCCGCATGTGTCCGTCTCGTAGAAACGGGTCAGTCAAGAACTCGTGCTGTCGCCCTCCAGCTGCTGGACAAGCTGAGCAGGATGCAGTCGTCCGTGACGGAGCACCAGCAGCACAACCGCTGGCTGCAGCAGGAGATGAGCAGGAGGCTGCAGGAGAGCGAACAAACCATCACGGCTCAGAGGGAGCAGGTCAGTTCGTCTCACTCCGGGTCCGAGTGGTTCTGTCGGGGCAGGAAGTGAAGCCTTGTTCAGGATATCCTCCATTTTCTGCTGTGTTGATGTCTTACAGTACTATAGGAAGTTAGTAGTTCATTGACAACGCTTTAATCACACAAACTACTTCATTTAATACTTAAACGGGTTTTGGTAAACGTCTAAAAACAAATGAAATTCCTTGTAAATAATTATCTTTAAAGGATAAATTGAACAAATGAAAACCGTAATCTTCATCGGTCAAGTTCAGAGTTTCTTGTTGAGCAGTTCAGGTCTTTATCAGACGACGTCGCAGCGGTCCTGACGAGCACTAGTAGCTAAAGGAGCGCATCAAAGGTGACTATAGGAACTGCATTTTCTACAAAAATGCAGTTCGAACGCTGAGTTCTGATTGAAGTACAAAATGCTAACTTACAAAAAACACAAAACTCGAGTTAAGATGCCAAACCTGAGCAGTAAGTTGCGTTTTTAAAAGAAAAATGTCTTGAAAGCTAAATGTAGCACAAAGCTAGCTAACAATGAAAATGCTAACTGAAAGCTAACAGTAAAAAAATGCTAAGTAACAGAAAGAAAAAGCAATCTTTTGATATTACTGTTGCAAAGCGTTAGCTAAAATTAAAACAGTAGCACAACTCAAAAGGCTAGCCACATGTTGGGTTTTTAATTTAAAATGATTAACCAAAAAAATTCCTAAATGTAGCGCAATGCTAGCTAACAATAAAAAAAATCCTAGCTAACGGCTAACAGTAAAAATTCTAAACATTTTCTGTGCTGTTTTTTTCATTGCAAAGCGTTAGCTAAAAAAGAACAAGTAGCACAACTCCAAAGGCTAGCTGCATGTTGCGTTTTTAATTGAAAATGTTTAACCAGAAGAATATCTTGAAAGCTAAATGCAGCACAGTGCTAGCTAATGGGGAGTGGTGGCGCAGAGGTTAGAGAAGATGTGCCTGTGATCGGAAAGTTGCAGGTTCAACTCCCCGGACTAAAATAAATAACAATATAAAACATGCTAGCTAAAGGCCAAAAGTAACAAAATGCTAACTAGCGATAACTCGAGGAATTGTATTTTCTATATAAATGCTAGCTGCTACCTAACTGCAGCAAAACTAGCATAAAGTGACCAAACAGAAACACTAGGTAAAAGTACTGTATTGCTAGCTAAAAGTAGCAACATGCTAACCACAGGTTATATTTTTAATCGTGAAAACTGTTCAACCAGAAAAATGTCCTTGTTTTTTACAGATAAGGACTGTTTCTCGTAATCCACCCGCTAAAGTGGTCGAAGTACCAGGTATGAGTTTTTCTACAGTTTACTGTCTGCAATAAGCCACAAACCGTTCCTAATTCAGAAGTGCGCGTGTAAAGTGGCACATCTGGATGATGACTGAATGAAACGATTGTGTTGTTTTCTAGTTGCCGTCACGGCTCCGGCCCCAGAGCTCAAACCAAAGAGAGTCGGACTCGGTGAGTTGGTTGCACGACCTCTTTGGGTTACGAGCGTCGGCTCCTGTGCACGAAGGACTTCACAGTTCCTGAAGCAGTGATGTCACCAGCACTCCCGTTTTAATACTCGCTTTTTTTATTTGACTTCTGA